ATATATTTGTATATATAATCTGTAAGATTGCTCTATCAGAGCAGCCTGATCGTTTGCTCTCTTCCCTGGTCCAAGGAACATACTTTGATTTCAGCTTCTGCTGCTCTGCTGCTGCAGGCGTACAGCTACCAGGAATAAGATCAGACAACTCAAGATCAAACTGTTTCCTCCCTGGTCTATCTTGTGTGTTTAATCATAGAAGTATTTTGTTATGAAGAGTGTTAACTACAGAATTAGAAAGTTATTCACTGAAACTGGATATCAGATAACTGACTGTGAATGTCTAGATCACGAACTAGAGCTAAGAGTTGTAATATGTTAGCAGGTTAAACAAGAAGTCGATATTAGACAAGCTTTGGTGATATTTTAAAAACATCTTCATAATACAGGAGTTGTAAGAAAGAATGGTAGATTCCCAGGTTTTTCTAATTCACTCATAAATCTTGCCTTCCTTTTACATGTAAGTTTACCATGGGATAATACTGGCATCTTTATGTGCTTTCTTACAACTTTGTGAATAATTTTCATTCATCATTTTTCCAGATTTGCTTCTGAGCATCGATTTTGGGCTCCCAGTGAAGTAGAGGAAGAGGTGGAAAATAAAGAAATAACTGAAATGTTAAAAACTAGATACATAACATTTGCTGGCAAGTTTGAACCAGTGAAACATAAATGTCGAGCACCAATGCCTGATGGAAGACTGTGTGAAAGGCAAGATCGGATCAAGGTGGGCACCAAGTAGCATAACTTCCAGGATATCTGCTACACAGAGACGATCTTGTTAAAACATGTCTGTAAAAGTTTATTGCACATTGTAAATATAGTTCAAGGGAGTGAAAGAAAATTGTATCTGAAGAAGTTTGTTGTCGATAGGTGCTTCATATGAGAAGCATCCTTTCTGCAGGGAAGCTGTAAACATTTAAATAACTCTCAAATATTTGTTGGCATTCATCGTAGGTATTTATATTATATTTATTACTGTGATGTTTAAGTACCTGACAGTGGAGACAGTTGTTTGCTGAAAACATTTCCTCATTTAGAGGCATATTTGATATTAATTTGTTTTTAGAAATGTGGATGTTTGAGGGGCAAAGAGATTTTATTTACAAATTAAGTTTTATGAAAACTAAAGGCTATGCAGCCTCAAAGTATGAGCCCTATTGAGCAGAAATACTTTGCTTAAATACTTTGGTCTAATAACCCTATTCTTCCTGTATTACCCGAGATTGAAGGATCTGAATGCACTAAAATACTTTAAATGGGATTGTTACAGGATAGGGATACAGCATAAACAACAGAATACAGTGCAGCATTGGTGCCCTGGTTCCACAGCTGACAGCATGTGCTACCTGGCCTCTTGAAATTGGATATTCATATCACAAAGACCTTATTTATTTGAATATATTAACCATATGATGTTTATGGGATCCTGATGCTTTCTAAGGGGGACTGGGCATCAAGTGTAGAGTTTTGTTGCTTGATTCCAATGTGTGGCTTAAGCTATGTTGAATAACATGTAAGCATTTTCTTTTCATTCGGAAGTTTTCAGGTTTTTTTTTTCCTTTCCTTTCTGAAGTGCCCTTTCCATGGAAAGATAATTCCTCGGGATGAATCT